TTAAACATAAATTGAAATCTCAAAACCTTGAAATCCTATGATGCATGTTTAATTAGAGTATTAAACTTGTAGAATTTGCCCATGCATATAACAATGAGACTTAATTTCATGCAAAACTACATCATCAAACCCAAAATAATAAATTTCTATAACGATGAACCTACCTTAATTTCTTCATCTTTGTTTTCTAATTTCTTCCAAATTATATGAAATTGAACCCAAACTCATTTTTAATTCAAGTGTAATATAAGGATTCTACAAAATTCAAGCTTGAAATCCTCCTTACCTTTAATCTTCAATTTAGTGTATTTTTGACAACTTCTTCACTTCTCCTAGCTTCCTCAATTTTTTTTCAAAATTTCCAGCAAGTTCTAAAGAATTGAACTCTCTCTCTCACCCACGGTTCTCAGCTGTTCTTGTTCCCGTTAAAAACAAAAGCATAGATGATGTATAGCGTCAATGTACTGCACCCATTTCTTTATTCCACTTTCTTTTCCTTTTTTTTTAATTTATATATTGTGTGGGTGATTTTCCGACCACACTGCCCGCTTAGTAACCAGCTGGAGAGCACTATATATATATATATATATATATATTAAAATGGTGGGACACTTGTCCATCTTGAATTAATTCATGTGGTGATGTATATTAAGATTAGTTTAGCACACTAATTATACATTAGCTTAATTAATCACTTCTTAATCTTAATCAGTCCAATTGACTTCCATTAATGCCCAATTTATTATATTTAAATTATCAGTCTGAATTAAATTTTTAATCAAACTCCAAAGAGGTTTCAAATATTAAATTAAACCTATTTTCATTATCAATTTTGATTTTTCACATCAGTAAGGCCTTCAATTTCTGATCAAACTTAAAATCTTTGTCAATAAATTACATATTCAATTTAACACCTCATAAATGAATTTAATTCATAATAATCTCAATTCCCAACCTTCATAACTTGATAGTTTGAGAGTTTCTCTCTCTAAACTATTCTCCTCCTAGGGTTTCCGAGTGTGTGGCTGCTGGCGGTGGGAGAGGGGTTTCCGGCGGCCTCCGGCCTCCTCTCCCCTCTCCCTACCCCTCTTTTGCTCTTCCATTTTCCTTATTTTTCATTCCCATAACTTGGAAGCTTGGGCTTTCCATCCTCTCCCTCCTTTGTGAGGTGTTTCTCCCACATCCATTCACTCCGGGAGTGGCCTTCTCGGATCTGCGCCGTCTCCGCTGCCTTCACCACCTCTTCTTCGTCGTCTTCTCCATAGGTTGACCGCCTCTTCCTCGTCATCTTCTCCATTCACGCTAGATCCACCTCCCCAACAGCCTTCATCGCCTTTTCTTCGCCTCTCCAGCCATCTTCACCGCCTCTTCATCGCTGTTCTTCTCCACTGCCGGATCCACCGAAGCCGCTGCCGGATTTGATTGGGTGTGGGTCTGTTTGTTTTTCTTTTGTTTTCTTTCCTATGGTTTGTGTTGGTTTTTTTTGGGTTTGTCTTGTTCTCTTAGAGTCCATCTGTGCGATTTGTTAAGCTTACCCTCATTGTGGTTGGGATCTATGAAATATTTCGGACATGCTTTATTGCTGAACTTTTATAATCGGCTCTGCTTCGCAGTATGAGCACGAGTACGATATTTACGTCTGAATATTTTCATAATTCTTCTTCCTGAGTGCTTCTTGATTTATTTTCACTTTGTTTGGTGTAAGATTTGGGTTGTTTGGACTCTTATAAGTGCTGTTTGGCTTTCTTAATTGACATATTTCTTCCGATAAAAAAAAAAATAAAAAAAAAAAAACTCCAATTCAAAACCCAATTAATAAAATCACAATTTCACTAAACTGAATCGAATATTTAATTAAACTCTCATGTGGTTCGATATTCGAAATTAAAATATTTCAGTGTCAATTTCATCTTCTTGAGCCACTTAAGCTTTTAATTTCTAATTCCCAAATAACTTTTTATAAAATTATATACGAATCAACCTCAATATTGTTTATCAATTCCACAATGAAATCGGAATAATAATTAATTAAAATCTTAATCACCTTGATTAATTAAATGTAAAATATTTTATGTGGCGGGGTCGTTACACCAAGCCTCCATCGAGAAGGAGAAAAGTCCTTTACAAGGAAAGGAAATAAACCTCCGCATAGAAAGAATTATTATACCAATAAGTAAAAATTAAACAAATCAAATAGAAAAAACCATATTTAATGCGTCACCAAATTCATCCAAAACGCTATTGTTCCGCAACCTTCAACTTGGAATTTGAAAACTCTACCTTCATATGCTCTGCAACCTTCAACTTGAAACTTTCACCTTCAACTCTAAATGCATTTAATATAATAAAAAGACAATTTTATCTTATATTCTCCAAACTTAAAAATAGATTAAGTTGTTAATTAAAATAAAATTAATGATTGATATATAATATAATTAAATTAAACAATAAAAATTATAATAAATAATTAAAAAAATTAGAATTAATTTTAATTCAATTAATGTTAAAAAATTATAATTACGTACATAAGAGAACATAAAGAGAGAAAACTATTAAAAAAAAAAAACTATTATGGTTATTTCACATATGTAATTAACCAAATTAATTATTATACTGTGATCCAAAATCACACACCGTTTGGGAAGGTGGGTTGGAGGCTTTTTTTGGCTATTTTAGCCACAAAAAATAAAATAGGCTATTTTAGCCATAACAAACAAAACATCACATCCAACCCATAATCATTACATTCTTCTCTCACAAAAAAACTCAAAAAAGCCAAAAAGCCAAAAAGCCTTTCCTAAACCAAGCTTTTAAGCCCAGGCTAAAATAGCCAAAAAAGCCAAAAAGCCAAAAAGCCAACCCACTTCCCAAACGGAGGCATAATGTCTCTGTTTGGAAAGTGGGTTGGTTTTTTAGCTTTTTAATTTTTTTGACTATTTTAACTTGGGCTAAAAATTTTAGTTTGGGAAAGGTTTTTTTGCCTTTTTTGTAAAAGAATAGTGTAATGATTATGGGTTGGATGTGATATTTTATTTGTTATGACTAAAATAATCTATTTTGTCTTTTGTGGCTAAAATAACCCCAAACCTCCTTGCCAAACGGAGCCATATAAGTCTTGTTTGGGAAGTTAGCCATTTTAATAAGTTAAAATTTTTGTGTTTGAAACATAGTTAGATTTTTTGTAGTTGGATGTAATATTTGTGAGAGAAAAAGTGAAATGATTATAGATTTGATATGATATTTTGTCTTATTAATTATTTTGACCTATTTTATCTTTTTGTGAATTTTAGTAAAAAAACCAAAAAACCTCTTGCCAAACAAGGCCATAGGCCTCTTTTGACAAGATGTTAAAAGCAATTTTTTTTTTTACTATTAACCATTTTAGCGTAAAAGTAAAAACATCGAGAAGGAGAAAAGTCCTTTACAAGGAAAGGAAATAAACCTCCGCATAGAAAGAATTATTATACCAATAAGTAAAAATTAAACAAATCAAATAGAAAAAACCATATTTAATGCGTCACCAAATTCATCCAAAACGCTATTGTTCCGCAACCTTCAACTTGGAATTTGAAAACTCTACCTTCATATGCTCTGCAACCTTCAACTTGAAACTTTCACCTTCAACTCTAAATGCATTTAATATAATAAAAAGACAATTTTATCTTATATTCTCCAAACTTAAAAATAGATTAAGTTGTTAATTAAAATAAAATTAATGATTGATATATAATATAATTAAATTAAACAATAAAAATTATAATAAATAATTAAAAAAATTAGAATTAATTTTAATTCAATTAATGTTAAAAAATTATAATTACGTACATAAGAGAACATAAAGAGAGAAAACTATTAAAAAAAAAAAAACTATTATGGTTATTTCACATATGTAATTAACCAAATTAATTATTATACTGTGATCCAAAATCACATAATGTCTCTGTTTGGAAAGTGGGTTGGTTTTTTAACTTTTTAATTTTTTTTTACTATTTTAACTTGGGCTAAAAAATTTGGTTTGGGAAAGATTTTTTTGCCTTTTTTGTAAGAGAATAGTGTAATGATTATGGGTTGGATGTGATGTTTTATTTGTTATGACTAAAATAATCTATTTTATCTTTTGTGACTAAAATAACCCCAAACCTCCTTGCCAAACGGAGCCATATAAGTCTTGTTTGGGAAGTTAGCCATTTTAATAAGTTAAAATTTTTGTGTTTGAAACGTAGTTAGATTTTTTGTAGTTGGATGTAATATTTGTGAGAGAAAAAATGAAATGATTATAGATTTGATATGATATTTTGTCTTATTAATTATTTTGACATATTTTATCTTTTTGTGAATTTTAGTAAAAAAACCAAAAAACCTCTTGCCAAACAAGGCCATAGGCCTCTTTTGACAAGATGTTAAAAGCAATTTTTTTTTACTATTAACCATTTTAGCGTAAAAGTAAAAAAGTTATTAAAAAAATTAAAAAGTCTAAAACTTATATTAAAAAGTCCAAAATTTTATTTTCTCTTTATTTTTTACATATTTTTTTGTAAAAAATCAAAAAATCATTCGAAACATACAATTTTTCTTTCTCATATTTTAATCAAAAAGTTACTAAATTAGTTTATTCCCAACCGAAACAATCTACTTCTCAAAACAACCCATAAAGTGTTGGATTTTAGGTCTCATTTGACATGTAATTGTTTTAGCTTAAAAGTCAAAAAGTTATTAAAAAAATAAATAAACTTTTAATCTATATCGAAAAGTTAAAGATTTATTTTTCTTTATTCTTTTCTGCACATTTTTTCGTAAAAAATTAAAATATTATTTCAAATATATTAATTTTTTTAAATCATATTTTAGTTAAAAAGTTAAAAAAAAAAATTACTAAAATAATATTTTTCCAAACAAGGCTCGAATCCACAAAATATAAAATGAATTTTGGCAAAAAAATAAAATAAAATGAATAAATAAATAAATGAAATTAATCAATTCAAAATTTGAAATTGAAAATGAGGAGTGGTTAATTTTCCCCCTTTTCAAAATTCGTTATTCGCTCTCACGATCGATATCTCTCGCCCTAATTCTTCACATCTCAGGCATGGATTATTTCTCTCTTTCAATCAATCATTTTCGACCTAATTAGGGTTTCTGGCAAGTCAATCAACCATTCAAATTCGATAATTCAGAGTGTTCAAGATTAGGGTTCCAAGCTTTTTACAGAGATTGGAGTCACATTCAATGTCTGCTTCAACAGTTTCAATCACGGCCAACCCCTCTGCGAGGCGGAGACCCGTGGTGGTCGGAGACAAGAAGTCCGGCATAGAATTGGTGGCTACTGACGGCGTTGCCGCCGCCACAAGCGACAAGATTTCAAACGGGAAAGATCTCAGCCACTCAATTAGAGGCGAAGTAGTTCTGGAGAGATCAAGAGACGTGGTTCAAGTCAAGAAAGCTTTGCCCAATTCAGACACCGCATTACCTTCTCGCCGCACCAATCGAAAGGGGGTTTCGAAGACCCAGAAACCCCTCTGGCAAACTATCATCAGTGCCTCCACCAAGAACTTTTTGCTTCTTCTCGTGCTTCTGGGTTTGGTTCAGATGATCCGTAGATTGTTGGCTAATCCTGCAACCATCTCTCCCATTACTTCTTCTACGGAATTTGAGCGTCGAATCGCCGAAGTGGAGGGTCTGTTGGTGACTACTACGAAGATGATGAGGGTTGAAGTGGACTTGGTGGATCAAAAGATTCTGAATCAAATCGGAGGTCTGAGAACGGAATTAAATAAGAAAATTGAGGATAAAGGCGTGGAATTGGAAACTGGGTTGAAGAATTTGGAGGATAGAACTGAGAGTTTGGAGAACTCATTGGGTGAATTGAAGTTGACCGAGTGGTTATCGAAGGAAGACTTTGTTAAATTTCTTAATGAGTTCAAGAAGGCTAAGGGTCTTGATCATGGATACACTGATTTGAACCTAGATGAGATGAGAGCGTTTGCGAGGGAGATAGTTGAGAAAGAATTTGAGAAGCATTCTGCTGATGGGTTGGGTAGGGTAGACTATGCACTAGCATCTGGTGGGGCTATGATTGTGAAGCATTCTGAGCCGTACACTGTTGGGAAGGCAGGCAACTGGTTTTACACTGCTAACCGAAATGGAGTTCATAATGATGCGGAGAAGATGCTTAGTCCCAGTTTTGGAGAGCCTGGTCATTGTTTTCCTTTAAAAGGAAGCAGTGGTTTTGTGCAGATCAAGCTTAGAACTGCCATTGTCCCAGAGGCTGTAACTTTGGAACATGTTGCCAAGGTGATTTTTTTTTTTGTTCCCCTATTTACTACTCGAGTTGATCTTGATTCATTTATTGTTTTTATATCGTATGTGCTTGCATTCTATTTGTAGTATACAAGGTTTGTAGATCAGATGTTTAAGTTTCAACTGTCTTTAGGTCTGCTTACTTGTTTTGACTAGTATGGATGCATTGTTTAATTGGATTTGGAGAGGATTTTCTGTACCAAAATCAATTGCAATGTGTATGGGAAAAAGAAGTAAGACATTGTAAGTCGAAGTGTAAAATTATAAGTTCTGTTGATGTAGTAGAAATACAAGTTTTGTTCATTGTGTTCATAAATTTGCTTCTACTGTCAGAACTAGAGAGGTGATGACTTTTGTTTTCTTGCTGCCATTTATTTCTAGCATCTTAAATGAGTTAATCTTGCTTTATCTTGCTCGACAATTTCAAAGATGTTATTTGGTGCCTTGCAGTAGGGTTGTGTAGTCTATGTTTGGGATGAACTTAATAACAATTTTGGCCTGGAGCGCTCTCTGAAAGACTGACGTATGCTCTTGGAATGGAAATGCCTTCTTTGTTTTTTTTTTTCTCGATGAAATAGTTTGTGGATTAAAGACAATTCTCTCCTGGAAGCATCTAATGATTGTGGTATTGTCTTTAGTAAATTGGAGAGAGAGAGAGAGAGAGGCTAGGGATTAATTATGATGGCCAGTTGAAAGGCTGGTTCTAAATGAAGATAATTAGTTGGAATGTGAGAGGACTTAGGTTCACTAGTAGAATGTGCACGGCAAAATAGGTTTTAGTTAGGAATAGTCCGGATATTGTGATTGTTTTAGAAACAAAAATTGAAAGTTTTGATAGGAAATTGATTAAGAGTATTTGGACTAGACACAAGGGGTGGGTCATTTTATTATTTGGATCAAACAGTGGTTTCCAGAAGTGAGGTAGTGGTAGTTGTGTTTCTGCTTTCAGTTAGGTTTAGGCTATGAAGCACGGGTACTCCACAAATATTATTTTTAACGCTTAATGGTTTTAAATTATAGGAAAATGAGTAGTTCTTTTTTTAGTTTTGATATTTAATTTTAATTTGTAGGTTGGATCATTTAATCAAAATTATATTTAAAAAAAAATAAAAAAATATCGGCGTACCGTAGCCGTACCCGTATCGTATTTTTTTTTAGTTTTGCCGAATCGGCGTACCCGCACTCGTACCCGTACCGTACTCGTACCCGCACCCGTGCTTCCTTGGGTTTAGGAGTCTTGATAATAGTGAATGGTGGCGAATGGGAGCTTACGGTCCCAATAACCCATGATTGAGGCAGTCTTTGTGGGATGAGGTAGCCTTTTTAGTTTATGCTATCCTAATTACTGTTGGGTGGAGATTTTAATGTTATAAGAGAGTAGTTTAAAAAAAGCTTAATGGGTACATAGTGTCATTTTGATGCTTTTGTTAGAGATTGACTTAATTGATCCATCAATATTAAATTCTTGTTTTTCTTGGTCAAATTCTCAGAACAATTTATCGTGTAAAAGGTTAGATAGATTTTTGTATTCCTTGGCAGGGAAGAGAGTATCCCAAATTTTTCAAATTTGAGACTGTTCAGATCATTGCCCAATAGTTGTAGAGAGTTGTCATTTTAAGTGGGGACCGACTCCCTTTAGGCCCTGTTTGTTTTGGGGGATAGGGGTTGGGATTGGATTAACATGGAGGTGGGTACCACTAAAATCATGTTTGTTTGCAGAAAACTAACGGTTCTATGAGATTAGAATTAGATTTGAAAATGTAAATGGATCATCACTTCTTTTAAGAGATGTTTTCAAGATTGGTGGGGTAATGGTAGCGTTCAAGGGTGTGAAGGGTTCAAACGCAAGAAGAAACTTAATTGGTTATGGATAAGCTAAAGGCTTGGAATAAAGAAATATTTGAGAGAAGTGCAAAATGAGATTATAAGTAGGATTGAAGAGTTGGATGGCTTTGAGGAGAGAGGTGAGATGGATAATAAGAAGGGAAAGGACTGACGTAAAGATTAAGTCTGAGAAAGTTGTCTTCAGGGAAACAATTCTAAGTTGTTTCATAAGGTTGCTAATGGACAACATGAAAAGAAATTCATCAAAAGGTTTCTCCTTCTAATCTAAGTCGTACTACTCATCAAGTGGGTAACGAGACCTAGCATTGAGGGTTTGGATTGGTTTCCTATTAATGTCTTGTTGGTTTGAAAGGCCTTTTGATGAATTATAAATTAGAGAGAGCCAACTTTTTATTGTGAAAAGGATGTGTCTTCGGGGCTAGATGGTTTCGTTATGGCTATGTTTCAAGATTGTTTTGGTGGGGTCTTAAGGAATACTCAACGAAGGTTTTTCTTGAATTTTTTGAGAAATGAATTGTTAATACTTGCATCAATGTTTCTTTTATTTGTTTGATTCCTAAAAAAGAGAATTTCTTGAAGATTGGCAATTTTAGAAATATTGGGCATGTTTGGTTTGTCTCTCAAGACATGTTTTTGGAGAAAAAAATTCCAAAAACATGTTTGGTTTAAATTTTTTTTTTTTAAAAAAAAAAGGTCCAAAATCACTTTTCTCTTTACTACACATCAACCAATTACTTTTTTCTCACACCCATTTATTCAACTACAAAAAAAATCAAATCATCCGAAATTTAAAAACTATTTTCAAAATATACAACAATTTTTTTTTTTAAATGTTCTAAACTCTCTCCAAAAAATTATTTTTGAAATAATATCTCAAAAACACAAACCAAATAAGGCCATTAGTTTAGTTACATTTTGTATAAAATCTTGACTAGAGTTGTCTAGAAGATTGAGAACAGATTTAGGGACACTATGGCCTTGTTTGGTTTGTATTTGAGAAACATGTTTTGAGATAAAAAGTACGAAAATTTGTTTGGTTTGGTTTTTTTTCAAAAGATGTTTTGAAAAATTATTTTGAGAGAGAGTTTTGGAAAAAGTGATTGATTTGATGTGTATGAGAGAGAGATTTGTTTGGAAAATTTGTAAACCAAACAAGTTTTGAAAAAAATTTTGGAAAAATTTGTTTGGTTTGATTACTTTTGAAAACTTATTTGTAGAGAATTTTTCTCAAAATTTTTTGAGAAACACAAACCAAACAAGGCCTATATCCACTTCTTAGGGTGTTTTTGGTTAGGGACATTATATGCTGGATGTTGCTTTGATTGCTAATGAAGTTGTAGTGGATTATAGATCTCGTGATAAGGAAAGAGTCATTTTTAAGTTTGATCTTGAAAAAGCTTAAAGGTTTTGGAGATGAGTAGAGGAAATGGATTTAGGTTTGCCTTTTCTCTACCAATTTATCGGTGATAGTTAATGGCAAAGCTTGTGCTACTTTTGAAGCCACTAGGGGTCTTAAATAGGGGAACCCTTTGTCCCCCTTTTTTGTTTACATTAGTGGTTGATGTATTGGGTAGATTAGTGGATAGGACTAAGGAGGCGGGTTTAGGATTGTGTGCTTTGGGTTTCAGTGTTCCATCTTTAGTTTTTGTATATAAATATATTCTCTGTTGAGGAAATGGATTTAGGGTTGTCTCATTTTCGTTTAAGGTTCCAGTGGGCGTGGCAAATAAAATTGAGAATATGTCACAAGAATTTCTTGTGGAAAGGTAGTGAAGGGAAGAAAGACCACTTAATTAATTAGGACGTGGTTTCTCTTCCTAAGAATAAGGGGGGGATGTGGGTTGGGTTATATTGTAGAAAGAACATTATTTACTTGGAAAATGATTATGGAATTTCCGTTTGAAATAATTCTTTATGGCATGTTATCAAGAGTGAGTATGAGATTTGGGATAATGGCTGGGATTCTTGTGTTAAAATGGGGAAATTCTCAATCTTCATGGAAATTCTCGATCTTCATGGATATTCATTTCTCAAGGTTTCACATTTTTTTCAATCCATTTGTCTTGTTATGGAAAATGGGAAGAGGACTCATTTTTTGGGAGGATGTTTGGAAGCATCAAATTCTTTTTGCTCATTTGTTCCTCGCTTGTGTTGTGTATCTCCTTAACATAATTTTTCAATTGCTCATTTGGTTTCCTCTTATGCTACTTCATTTTCTTGGCATTTTCATTTTTTAAAGAAATTTTAATGATTGTGTAGCTAATGAACCTGCTTTGTTATCTATCCTGGATGTTTCTTTGAATGCTCGTGTTGACAAAAGGTTGTGGAATCTTTATTTGTCCAGTCTTTCTCCTATAAATTATTTTTGAGAAGGTAATTGATGATCCAAATGCCACTCTTTGATCCTCACGAAATGCTATGGAGTGCAGATGTGCCATTGAAAGTTTTTTGCATGGACTTCTCACCTCTTTGATTTTTGCTATTTCCTACTTCAAGGGGATACTTTATTTTCTATTAGTAGAGATTGGAGAGTTGTGTGCGATATGTAATTTTGTTTTTTTAGAGCATTTACCCTTTCGATGTGTGAATTTCTTGTCCTACTTACTCTTTTGTATCTCTTTTCTTTTTTATTAATAAAATAAAATTGTCATTGTTACTAAAGCAAGCTGGCCAAAGGATGATGGGTTGATGGTGCTTCTAAGGTAGTGGTGTCTCTTCATACTTAAAGTGAGGAAATGAAACAAGATTATGGAACCTTAAGGGAAGAGAATTTAGGCTATCCAATCAGATTTGGTAGTCTAGAGCTTTGACTATAAAGTTGGGAAGCTAAGATGGGGTTAAAGAACAGAGTAAATGTTAGGTTGGTAGAAGGCTGAAGATGTTGGTCTAAAATGTAAGGCAGAAGCTTGTAGGATTTTCTGCAAGGCAAATTCAAGGGATTCTGGGATATAATTACACCATGGTTCTAAATAATGAATCAGGAGATGAATTGGTATTGGTTGCAATGCAGCGTTATCGGGAGTATCAAGCGATACATATCGGGAATTAGGTGAGATGGTTGTGAATTCTCGGAAATCATTCACGACCCCTCTAATTTTCAATGAAACACAAATTTTGACTTTCTTAAACTTAATTTGTCCCATTTTAATTAGTGTAGTGTGTTCTAAGGAGTAAGTTACTTTTTTTTTTTTTCTCTACTTTGAGAGGAACCACACCCTTCTGTTTCTGGCAATGACTCGCATCACACATACTTCATCTAGAACTGTGTAGCCACATTCTGAACTGACCTGGTAGAGTAAATCATACGATTTTAGTACGAAACCCAGACAATTCACACAATAGACCTCTTTTTGGTTGTTAAGGTACCTAACAATTTTGATGAGGTTCAGATTTGGATTTTTCCAAGAACAAATAGAAATTAAAGTAGTGGGCCAGTTAGGACTCCCTAGTCAGCCATAGCTTGTGCACTGTTGTTTGATGCACCACTTTCCTATATTTTGAATCCTACATTGGTGAGAGAGTGCTCCATGAAGCAACCCATCAAGTATAAAACAAATCCTCATGACTAGACAAATTAAAGTTGTTGGTGTCTACAAGGACACGTGGGCCTCACAGTGTGCCATGTGGTGCACTTCAGTTCTTTCAAAAAATTCCCAATTTAAACTGTTTGGTTCTCTTTGAGAACATGTAATTTATCCATTGCAGTCCAGTAAGTTTCGCAAAACCAATACTTGTCTATGATGGTGCTACTACGTAAGGTTTGAGGTTATTGTCCATTCTTCTTGATGCTGCCACTGCTTTTGATTCCATCTCCTACTAATACTCAAATGGTTTTGATAATTAATCTTGGAATAGTGGAGTAAATCCACTGATTCATGAAGTGTGTTTGAATCATATTTTGAGTACAGATTTTAGTTGAATGCTAGAGTGTACCATGCCTCTGGTTACAATATGTTGAGTTGTGTGGTTCTCATAATTGTGTTTATTGCTCTTACTACTGATTCATATTATGTCATATGTCGGGGTGGTGTGTCTCCAATACTTGCAGTTTCTTCCTTTATTTTGTGTGTGGATGTTATGGTTTCAATTATATGATACTAAACAGCTGTTTTCAATTATGAGTAGTGAATTTTCAACATACCCATTCACTAAACGCATTTGGGTTGTAATGTGAGCAGAGTGTTGCGTACGACCGGTCGAGCGCTCCCAAGGACTGCAGGGTTTCCGGATGGCTGCAGCAAGGGCGTGATCCTATTGATCAAGTGGTTGATACAGAGAATATGTTTGTTTTGTTGGAGTTTACCTATGACCTTGATAAGAGCCATGCTCAAACTTTCAACGTGTTGGACTCGTCTGCCTCTAGCATTGTTAATATGATCAGGCTTGATTTCACATCCAACCATGGAAGTCCATCTCATACTTGTATCTATCGCTTGAGGGTGCACGGTTACGAACCCAGTTCTGTCTCGATGCTGGCAATTTAATCTTCAATATCTCAACGCTGCTGTGTATTGGATGGATCATTGTCCCTCTAGTTCTTTAATTGTTGCTTTTGTAATTTTTTTTCCCTTCTATGTTAGGTACTTGTTTTATTTTTTGTTTTTGGTTTTGGTTTTAAACTATGATCTTTGATCAGATACTAAATTTTAGTGTGTGTTCTCGGACTGCTTATCAGATGGATCTGTTTTTTAAAAATGGGGGATGTTACTCTCCCATTGTAGGAGAAAAAACAAGTAATATTAGGAAAGCTTCCAAATTATTGATGTTTTTATTTATTTATTTATATTGTTTGGTGTATACTTGTTACTTGACCGTGCTACTGATGGGTATGTTTTTTGGTCATTATGCTACAATGCCAGTGGCTGTGTAAAAAGATGGAGACTAGAGCAATTCAGGTAAGTTTGACCTTGACCTGAGTCAACTTTGAAAAGTCTTAAGACTGGGGTTCTTACTACTCAAACATCATGAACTTTATTGTTAACGCAAATAATAAATAATATACTATATATTATTAATTATCTTCAAACGTTGAATTTTCATATTGTAATGTAATTAATTTTATTATTTTGGTACAAACAACGCAAGTTAATTTTCTAGTCACTCCATCACCTTCCCCCAATCCCAGCTCCACCTCCTCATTCTCTTCCCCAGTGCCACTCCTACCTTTACCTGATTCCAAAAATCAATCAGTGTGTTTGGTTTGGATTTTTTGAATTAAGTTTTTTGAAAATTGAGTATTTTGGTTTTTGCATTTTTTTATTTTTAGTGAATATTTTTTAAATTTTAAACATTTTTTTATGTTTTTAGATGCACCTTACTTAGATGTATTTAAAAAATAAAAAATTTGTGTAAAAATATTTTTAGAAATTAATAAATACATAAAAATACAACAAATGTATTGAATTTTCGTATTTTTTTTTATATTTTTGGTATTTAGTGAATTTTTAAAAGTTTTTTTTCAATTTTTTTTTTTTACTTTTTAGGTATAGTTATGTTATGTATGTCTAAAAATTTTAAAAATTGCTCAAAATATTTAAAAAAACTCAATAAAAACAAAAAAAAATACGAAAAATAAGAAAGTAGAATTTTCTGAGAAGTATTTTTGAAAAATGATAACCAAGCATAGTTTTCTTTTGTTCATTAAAAAAATATATATTTGGAAAGTTGGGTTGGAGGGCTTTTTTTACATTAAAATAGTCAATAAAAATAAAATATGTTAAAATAATTAATAAAAAAAATGTTATATGTAAATTATAATTATTTCATTTTTTCTTTTATAATTATCAAATCAACTACAAAAAAAAGTCAATTATAATTCCAAATATAATTTTTTTTAACTAAATTAAAATAATTAAAAAACTAAAAAATTAATTAAAATAACTAAGTTCCCAAAGGAAGGGAAGCTCTAAAGTGCCACTCCTACCTTTCACCAATTTCAAAAATCAAATTTTTTTATTCATTTAAAAAAAAAAAAAAACATGTCAGCTATGGTATTTTAGAATGGAAGCTCCAAAAACCGTGAGAGGCGATGAAGACGTGGTTGGTGCCCAAAATCATGAGAAGAAAAGTAGACTTGGTTGGGAGGCTTTTTACAGTGCTAAAGTTTTAGGAGACGTAAGACATTGGCCTCGTGTAGATTGATCATCCTTGCATCGCTAAGGCCAAGTTTGACGTATGAGAAATAATTTATTTTTTTATTTTTTTTCATCACATTATTTCTTTATTTTTCTGTATATCTTTTCGTAAAAAAATAAAAAATACACTTATTTAGGTCATTCCAAACAACCCCTAATAAGTACATATGGGGCGTTTTAACAAGTTGTAAAAAAATTAATTTTTTGATTTTCTTAGATTTTATTACCTCTTTATTTTTTTATATAAAAAAGTAATTTTTTAATTAATTTTTCAAAACACCACTATATATATATTGGAACAATCTTCTGTGTATAATAAATAAATTGAAACAATAATAAACAAATAAAATAAATAACGTACCGAATTTATTTTGTTGAACCAAATGAATATTTAAAGACTAAGTCGAGTGTGTGATACTATATCCTTAAGACAGATTTGCTCTACTACGGTGCTTACGGTTAAGTGGCATCTATCTCCCAGAATACAATGATCTTCACAAATTTGTAGTAGCACTCCAAACAAATTTGTCCGGCAAACTAAAACCTAGTGTTCTATACTCTCTTTAATTTTTTCTAAAACTAGAATGAAGATTATATATGCAAAGGAACAAAATTTGGACAACAAAATGTATTTTTTCAAACTGTTTTTGATCCTTGAACACTACTAGAAATGTTGGTATTTATAGGTAAAAAACCTGTCTGAATAGATGCAATAAAAAAAAATCGAACAGATATGAAACAGTTTTGAACAAGTGCAATTTCAAAATTCAAATAGATAACTGCTATAACTGCAACAGATCTGGTGGCAGTTTTGGACAAATAACTGCCCAACAGTTTGGATCTGTCTGGGTAGTTTAAAACCCGTAGACAGTTTAAATTTGAATCTATTGTGGACTGAGGCACATTTATGGACATAAAAAATTAAATTCAAATTTTGAATTAATTTTTCGCAATAATTTTTGGAAAAAATTGAAATGAATTTTGTTTAAAAAATTAATATAAGAACCGACCAGACCTATACCCACACCAGGCACGGCCGGGCGGCGACGGCTTGTGCGCGTGTGTGGTGGTTTGGGCTAAGGTTCATTTTGTCCATAACTCCTCCCTTCTACAAACTTGGGGTGCCCCTTGAGGCCCAACCCAAGTATTGTATTCTAGAGCTTATATGCATACACAAGCTCTCTTAAAATTTCAATGTAGGACAATCCATTTCAAGGAAACCCACATTTAATTCTTTAAATGTCCAATTCCACGAACCTAAAAACGACGTCAACTTCCCATTCACTCATAAATGGTTTTGGAAACCATCTTCACCGTGTGACTTGCTATGCGGCAAGGAACACGTCACCTCTTTAGACCCACCCTAAAAGACGTTTGGGACCCACTCAATTTTGGGTTCAAAGTTGGCCCAAAATAAGCCTTATAAACTAAGTTTTCCAACAATCCCCCACATGAATGAAATTTGACGGAGAGAAAATGTAACAACATGATCTAATTACAGAGAGTACAAAAATTGAAAATATTCTGCAAAGGATAAGTAGCTTTTGGCTTTAAACCTTCCCTTGTGAGATATTATCGAATTTACTAGCTAACCAGTGAACATGATGTCTTGAACTGTTCAGCCGTTTGTATAAACCAAGACAATAGAACTTACACAGTATATCCTCAGACACAGTTTAGTTCTCACTATTATGTTCACTTTGGCCCTGAATAACCTGATCTTTTATGAGTGCTCTAAAGACTTGTAGCCCTTCACAAATCTCATAGAACCGACCCAATTCACACTTACATAGGTGATTTTTATGAGAAGTATCCTGCCATACTCCACTAGATATAAGAATCAATAAAATTTTACTTAACTTAAAACGCTACAGACATCACTGTTTCATCCTAAAAATGGGTAGGAGTTGGACTCCCCAGTGATCCTTCTGAGTCATTCACAACTCGATTGTCCCTTTGAACCTAGATCTTGGGATCTCCAGTCAACTAGGTTGGGTTGCCATTGTAGTAACTCTTATATAATAGGCTTAAGTCTCATTCCCCTCGATGAATTCTCAACTAACTCTCTTGCTAACCCTTTGGTTAGTGGATCCGCTATGTTGTCTTTAGATTTCACATATTCAATGGAAATAATTCCATTAGAGAGTAGTTGTCTTACGGTGTTATGTCGACGACGAATGTGACGTGACTTACCGTTATACATATGACTCTGTGCTCTACTAATTGCTGATTGACTATCACAATGTATGCATATAGCAAACACCGATTTTGGCCATATTGGAATATCTTCAAGGAAATGGCGAAACCATTCTGCCTCTTCTCCAGCTTTGTCTAAAGCCATGAATTCTGATTCCATAGTAGACCTAGCAATGCAAGTCTGTTTGGAAAATTTTCAAGATACAGCCGCCCCACTAAGAGTAAAGACATACCCATTGGTGGATTTTGAGTCTTTAGTATCCGATATCTAATTTGCATCACAGTAACCTTCAATTACTGCTGGATATCTAGTATAATTTAGCCCAATCACTACAACAAAAAACACTTTTAGTGACCTGTTTTTTAGTCACCAAAAGTGTAATTTTGGTTGCTGAAAGTATCCGCGACATGAACAAAATTGGTCGCTGAAGCCCTGTCACTAAGCGCTTTGGCGACCAAATCAATTTTGGTTGCCTTTATAAATAAATTGGCGACCAAATATTTCCGTCCCCAAAAGACTAAAATTTCGTCGCCATAAATTAACATTTAGTCACTACAAGTAGCCTTCAGCTGATGACATGTTAAGTTTCAGAAACACATAAATGCGTCGCTAAAAATATCTTTCAGTGACAAAAAGAATTGGTTGTTGAATGTTAAACTTTTGGCGACCAATCAAGTTTTGGGTCGCTAAGAAAATTGACACATACTTTCAGCAACATAAATAAAATGTCACCAAAAGTAAATTTACAACTAAAAAAACCTGTCACCAAAAATTCATTATTTATAATTTTTTAAAAAAATTTCCCTGTTCAATACATAATTCACAAACCTATAAACATAAGTGAGAGGGTGATTTATGATCTGGAGTTGGGTCGAGATATCGACCGAGCAGGTTGAAAGCCCAGCAGTGCATTGGGCCGGGATGATCGACTGTTCGCCCAGAGAAGGGCTGCCAGAACTTGGGCCGGGCAGAGTTCGGGCTGTGTGCCACCCTGGACCGGACAAAAACTGCTCGGCAAGGCAGTGCTCGGTCGGACCAGGATGCTTGGTCCGAGGATGGCCGAAGCCAGATAGGCCGAGTGACCGGCGCCCGGGAAGGCGCGGACATCCGAGGAAGTTGTCTGACCGGCTGTGATTATATATATACATTTTTTAATCACACTTTTTAATTAACATGTGATATATTTATTTTTTATGTCACTTTTCAATTAAGTGTCATTATATATATTTTTTTATTACACTTTTCAATTAGGTGTGATTATATATATACATTTTTTAATCACACTTTTTAATTAACACGTGATATATTTATTTTTTATATCACTTTTCCATTAAGTGTGATTATATATATATATTTTTTATCACACTTTTCAATTAAGTGTGATTACATATATACATTTTTTAATCACACTTTTTAATTAACATGTGATATATTTATTTTTTATGTCACTTTTCAATTAAGTGTGATTATATATATATTTTTTATCACACTTTTCAATTAAGTGTGATTACATATATACATTTTTTAATCACACTTTTTAATTAACATGTGATATATTTATTTTTTATGTCACTTTTCAATTAAGTGTCATTATATATATTTTTTTATTACACTTTTCAATTAGGTGTGATTATATATATACATTTTTTAATCACACTTTTTAATTAACATGTGATATATTTATTTTTTATGTCACTTTTCAATTAAGTGTCATTATATATATTTTTTTATTACACTTTTCAATTAGGTGTGATTATATATATACATTTTTTAATCACACTTTTTAATTAACATGTGATATATTTATTTTCTATGTCACTTTTCAATTAAGTGTCATTATATATATAAAAAATATATATGTGATTATATATATATATTTGAATATATTTATTTATATAAAAATATATCCAAAATTGGCGCCTTTTCCTCTTCCACTACTCTATAGCAGACATAACTTCCTCCATTAATTTCCAAACATATATCAGACTCTTCCTTTTCCAATTCGTTTTGCCTCTCTTTCTGATTCAAGAGCCCTAATTTGGTTTGCAACTCCAGATAAATCAGGTAGAGATATTAAGCAAAGTGACTCACTTACAATTGGACTATAAGATGGTCCTGACAATGTGGTTCTGTTAGCTCCCTGTGTGCACATATAGCGGATTAGTGAAGTTCTTTTAACAACAAAATCATTCGTTAATAAACTGAACAGTAATACCTTGTGGGGTTTGCAGAGAAGATCCCCCCATTTCTTTCCTCTCCCATCTATTAGACCGCCTCCTTGCAGTGATATTTCATTGATTCTGTAGAAGATAAGCCATTGGTGCTTACTGTTACTATCTAGCCACAAATCAAGTCCATCTGGTGGCATAAGAGTGCCATCAACCTATAAAAGAATGTAAGTACCAAAAGACATTAGTCTTTTTTACCATTGGAGTCCTGAAGAAAGTTTCAAGAGGAATAGAATGACAACATTAATTACTTGGAACACAAAACCACTCTGACAAGGACCAGTGAAAATTGTGGATTGAATCATGAAGGAATAACGGTAGGGAACGAGGAGGACCCCTGACTCAAATAAGCAGCCCATGTCCCACGCTGTTTTGAATGCCTCTGTGTCATCTGTTATTCCATCCCCCACAGCACCAAATTTTCATACATAAAAAATGCCAGTACTTGAATTGTAAGAAGTCCCACCAGTAGTTGGGTCAGAAGGTTCAGGTGGAAGAGAAGGGGGTTGTGAAATTTGGGATAGCGGGGGAGAATGGTGTTTGTGTTTCAATCTAGTTTGGCTGCTGATACTGAACAACCAAAAGAAATGTAAAGAACTAGAAACGACAGAGTGTAATGCACCATTATCAGCTTAACTATGCTCAAACAGCTAATCTAGAACAAGTTGATGTTGAACAAAGAGAAATCAATCAATACTACCATAAATGTACTTTCAATTGTAGCTTGAGAATATAAACAGTTGAAACAGCTTTGTCACTATTAATAAGTGGATGAAATGATTGAGAATTGCGTACATCCCATGTTTAATGGATGAAAAAAAATCCTTTTGCTCTCCACATTATGAGCATTTTTTTTTAAATATTATTTTTTGATCTTGGAGTGCAATGAGCACAGTTGTTTGTTTGTATTAATTTGGACTGACTAATATTATTTTGTGTTAGATTGTGGCTGATTCTTACTAATCTCTCCTGTTGAAATTGTGGAGATTTTAGGTATATAGACATCTCTCAACCACATTGCCTGAAGCAATCTCTCCTGTTCGAGGATCAATCATCTGATTTCGCATTTTAGATTTCTCTCTCTCTCTCTCTCTCTCTGCATTAACATTTTCATCATTTGAAGCTGGTTCTCTGTTTTTTACTTCATTTTTCTGTGCTTCTTATCTCTCAATTGTCTGGTTTTTACCGATCTATTCATATGTTTTTGGTTTATTGATTTATTTCCATGTCTTAGAATCTCTCCATCTATTCCTCAGAAATGCCATACATTTGTATAGGTGAACTTGTTTTATTAGTTGGGGGGGGGGGGGGACTCTAAAAACTCTAAAAACTAACAGTTTAACAGTTTTGCTTTTGTTAAGAGTATATTTGACATGAATCATGTAGTAGTGAAGAGAATATTGATCCTTGCATTAGTGGTAGGCATCAAGGAAAAAAAAATTCATTGAGGAAAACAAGAGGCTCAGAACCATACTGTTATTCTAATCAAAATCACCCAAGGCTAACAAATCAATAGACACAAAAAGCACACTGCAGCAGATCAAGAACCAAGTCCAGACCAGAAGAAATACTGCTCCTGTTGCTCTTCCAGAACAAGGTCAATACCCAAACACACCAGACGCTACCCAAGCACACTGCTGCTGCTCTGCTATCTTTAATGACTATATGCACACCAATCCCATTTGATTTAAATAATAAAAAAAGATCCCAAAAATGCTATTTTCCTCAAATTAGCTTCAAGTTTTGCTACAAATCTCTCTGAACAGCTCCATGGTTTCATCATACCTCCAAACATGTAAACATAATAACCATTGATGCTTCTATTCTTGTAATCCTACTTTGTTACATGTTTTACCCTCCAATGATTTAATTTCCTTTTGCAAGAGCTTCAAACCAATCAAGTTCATTAAAATATTTGTAAGTAGTAAAACAATAGAGCAATTGACTTGTTTATGTTAAATAAAAATAAATAAATAATAATAATTGAAAACTGACCAAGTGAAAAGAAACATACCTTAAAGCCTTTAATAATTTTAAAAATGCACTAAAAGCAACAATTCCAAATAGTCAATTACTCTTTGGTTATTCTAATACCACTATTCCTTCAACACCAGATAAATCCATTTCAGATAGTTATTTTCAGTACCCAAGAATGTTTAAAACAAAAAATAGGATCACCGTATATGCATTATAAATATGGTCCCCTGTCTGGATCTGGTTTGATGTAAATTTCTTGTTCCCAAGCATCCACAAATAAAGATCACTTCCACTACAAATTGAGAATCAATAGAATTCACTTCCATTTCCCAAGAAATCATGAAATAGAAAACAAAATCACCATACATGATAGTGATGAGTAAAGAAATGTTTTTAGGGCAAAAGAAAAATTTATTAATAAGTAATACAGGGGTTCCAACTTGGAAACAAAATTCTTTATAAAAAAAATTATAAGAAATCATTACAAAACTTTCTTGATACCTCTAAATTACTCTCAAAACCAAATTACAATTTATAATTCCTTACCAGATCTATGTAAGTAATAAAGTTGTTAATTGAGTACTCCTTTATCTCCTTATAGTCCTTCACCCGGTGCATTTTTCTCACTAGGATAATGTCTACAACTTCTTTTCATTCTGCAATTTCATTGTTAGAAACAGAGTTATTGCACTGAATCAAAAGACTGATTAAAAACTGTGTAGAATAGTGACTCCCTAATTAATTTCTTCAATCCATTCATTTTAAATCCAAATCACCGTCTCATCAACGTTTTCAAATCAACAAGACATATTAATAATAACCCCACCATTTTAAACAAAAACTCCAAACCTTCATGAAATGGACATAAAAGCTATTTCTCGTAATTAACAAATCACAAGCAACAAAAAACTTGGACTTTAGATGGAATGAAGGATTTCCAAATGAGTTTCAATACTAACCTTGAGAGACCTTATGAAGCTTGATAATGACTAAAAGATGAAGCTACACAATATTAACCATTACATTCCCAAGTCCATAACATTTTATCCTTTGCCTCTAATCTGGGGCCAAAATTAGAAATTAATGTCTTTGTCATCTTCCTCCCTTTCCCAAGTAAAAAGATCCCTTCAATATTCTAATCTCAAAACCCAGCCATCATAACCATGAAAATGCATGCAAGAATATAAAAATTTAATTACAAGAACAAAACATGGATTTATAAATGATGAAAAATAAAGGACGGGATCTGGGCATATTGTTATTTAAAAAAAAAAAATCTAAATTCATATAGAGGGAAGCTTGAAAGCATAAACAAAGTGCCCAATGTATCATGAAACTTAGTTGTACAAGCAACACAAGCATATATCACCTAACTAGTTCTTTTGGGGGGGAAACAAAAGAGTCAGTACCTGCTTGATCTGTAGTTGGTTTCTAACATTTAAACTTTTTTCCCTGAGTTTTCCCGAAAATGTAAATAGGAAACAAAAACAAAATCAAACAAGAGCAACCATCTTTTTTATATCTGCCACAGGGAAATTTGCTTGTGAATAAATGAGAAATCAAGTACTCTAATGTTCTAGATGTTGCAACCTTACGAATTTCTAATATGGCCTCCATAAGAAGAAGAATTGAAACTAACAATAGCAAATCCTCATCTCTAATAGATATGATTGATTGTAAACCTGCAACCATAGATGATCCAATCTAGTCCACATCAAAATTGGCTATCACTCTAGTAGACATCGTGACAAACTTGATAGGGTTTTGGCTTCAAGTCACTCAGGAAGCAATGGGTGTGGTGTAGTTGTTGACAGAGGAGAAATTTCCTGGGCTCTGCAAATGGGTAGATGAGTAATGTTGATTGCAATGCCATCAGAGAAAGGTACAGATTTTGATGATCAAGACTATACATACCTTGTTTGCCCACATAAGCCCACATGCATTGCAGAGTGTCCTTGGTCCAGCTGGGCCACGACGCATTGCAGGAGTAGAATTTTCACCAACACCACAATGTTGACATCTTCGAACACTAGACAATATTGCAGAAAATGATATTCACTGTAAAGATTAATTAGGAGGAAGATAGTGAAGTATCGGTCTATATATTTAAAACAACAATTTGAGATTCAGGTTGCCACTCACACAGTTTCTGGACGAGGTGTGCCATCTCCTTGAAGGCAACTCTTAGTAGAATCCCAACTAGAAGAGGCTGAGTTTTCTTTCAATGAGGCAAACTGACCATTCTTCTGATGCATCATATTAGGATAATACATACAGAAGGAAAAGTTATACTCACAAATGGTAACACCTCTTACATCAGAATAATCTTTTCTTTTTTCTTTTTCTTTTTTTTCTTTTTTTCTTTTTTTTTTTGGGTTGTTATTGTTGTTGTTAGTTACACTGAAATAATCATTTCACATTCAAATTTCGAACCACTACAAATCCCATCAAAATAATTGTAACCAGGGGCAAATTGAATGCAGTAAGGATTTTACCAAAATTATTGGGATTGAGGGTTTTGGAAGAAAAGTTCTTCTCATACCAAATATAACCCTACTAAATAGAGGGTTTGCTCATATATTTATGTTTATCCTTAACTTGGAGTATCTAAATCTCCCAAATTTCTTATATATTCCAAATTATTTTGACCAAAATGCACTAACCAATATATAGAACATTTTATGGGACCACAAAAATATGACCTATAGAAGTTAAAAAGTTCTACAGATGTAAAAGGATATGATAATACAATGGCATAAACAATGTAACCTAACTAGCTAAAGCAACAATCTCAATCCCATATAAACATGAAAACTAACAAATCTATGAGTACATACATACACATACATAACCATGAATATACCCAAAATAAAAAATAAAATAAAAATTAGGCATTCGGCGCTGCAGCCCAGCGGTGCTATGCCGTTGGCATTCGGCGGCGCGAGAAAGCAAGAGGGAGAGGGAGAGGGACTACATTCAGAACATCAGAGATAGAGAAGAGAACAGAGCAGTGATCCAAAAAGAGGGTCCCGATTTGCTGCCGCCCAGTGTTACTGCCGTCAAGCACTGCTGTGCCTTTCGTATTCAGCGGCGCGAGAGAGTAAGAGGAAGAGGGAGAGAGAGAAGAAGAAAAGGAGAAGATTAGAAGAAGAAGAGAAGAAGTACATACCTGATCTGTGTTGTGCCGTTCTGTGTTGTGCCGTTTCAGATGGATGAGAAAATGTGAAGAAGTTAGGTCAATTGTTTGTTTATTCCCTTGTCAACAATTTTTGGCAATAAAAAATTAGGGTAAAGACAAATAATTTATTGGCAACCAAATTAATTTGGTTGCCATAAATGTTATTTAGATTTTTAGGCGACCAAGTAATGTTTGTCGCCAAACAAATATAATTGGCGACTAAATTTTCCGTCGCTATAAATTAATTTGGTCGCTGAAAAGTTTTTCGCATTCCCGCGCAAGAAATTCACTTGGCGCCAAAATTAATAGCGACCAAAATCATAAATTCATCGCCAAAAGTTTATTTTTTAGTGACCACAAATATTCTGTTGCCAATTATGTATCTTTGGCAACTAAATTTTTGTCTGGTTGCTAAAAAGTGTCGCCAAAAATGCTTTTTGTTGTAGTGAATGTTACGAGTAAATCGAAGATATCTTCGAACCCTTATAATTGTTTTCCAGTGTTCTACTCTCGGATTACTCGTATATCTACTTAATTTACTTACTGCATAAACTATATCTGGGAGTGTGCAGTTCATCAAGTACATTAAGCTTCCAATAATTTAGGCATACTCTAATTGATAAATATTTTCCTGTACATTCTTAGAAAGAAACAAATTAACATCCACAGGTGTTCTAGCAAGATGATCATCATCTTTGCTAAATTTGTCAAGTATTTTCTCAATGTAATGAGATTGTGACAAAGTAGATCCTTCTGATATTTTGGTAATTTTCATACCAAGAATTACATCAGCAATACCCATGTCCTTCATGTCAAAATATTTATTCAATATTTTCTTGGTAGTTTTAATTATGTCATTATTACTACTTATGATAAGCATATCATCCATATAAGGACACACAATGACATAATATTTGTCTGTGTTTTTAATATAAACACATTTGTCACACTCATTAATTTTAAATCCATTGACATCATTGCCTTATCAAATTTCTCATGCTATTACTTTGGCACTTGTTTTAAACCATATAATGATTTAATCAATTTACACACTTTCTTTTCTTTTCTTTTCCTAGAACAAAAAAACCTTTTGGTTGTTCCATGTAAATTTCTTCATCTAACTCACCATTTAAGAAAACGGTTTCCACATCCATTTGATGAATTTCTAGGTTGTATAACGACGCAATAGTAATTAACATTTTAATGGATGTTATTCTAGTAACCGGTGAGTGTGTGTCAAAGTAATCAAGACCTTCTTTTTGTCTAAATCCTTTGACCACAAGTCTTGCCTTGTATTTGTCAATTGATCCATCCGCTTTCATTTTTCTTTTGAAAATCTACTTGTACCCAAGAGGTTTACAACCTGGTGGCAAATCCACAAATTTTCAAGTGTGATTTTACAAGATGGATTCAACTTCACTATTGACAGCTTCTTTCCATAAAGGAGCCTCAGGATTGGACATAGCCTCTTTAAAAGTTAAAGGCTCATTTTCTAACAAAAATGTTAGAAAATCTAGACCAAAAGATTTTGAGATTCTAGCATGTTTACTACATCTAAGTTCATCTTCCTCATTTTGATCTAACTCTTGCTCTTGTTCTTGATCATGTTCTTGATCCTGACTAGTAATAGCATCATGAGATCTTTTATTGTTACTAGTCTCTTGTCCAGTCTTATTAGAAATACATGTTGGCGCTTGTTTTAAACCATATAATGATTTAATCAATTTACACACTTTCTTTTCTTTTCTTTTCCTAGAACAAAAAAACCTTTTGGTTGTTCCATGTAAATTTCTTCATCTAACTCACCATTTAAGAAAACGGTTTCCACATCCATTTGATGAATTTCTAGGTTGTATAACGATGCAATAGTAATTAGCATTTTAATGGATGTTATTCTAGTAACCGGTGAGTGTGTGTCAAAGTAATCAAGACCTTCTTTTTGTCTAAATCTTTTGACCACAAGTCTTGCCTTGTATTTGTCAATTGATCCATCCACTTTCATTTTTCTTTTGAAAATCCACTTGTACCCAAGAGGTTTACAACCTGGTGGCAAATCCACAAATTTCCAAGTGTGATTTTACAAGATGGATTCAACTTCACTATTGACAGTTTCTTTCCATAAAGGAGCCTCAGGATTGGACATAGCCTCTTTAAAAGTTAAAGGCTCATTTTCTAACAAAAATGTTAGAAAATCTAGACCAAAAGATTTTGAGATTCTAGCATGTTTACTACATCTAAGTTCATCTTCCTCATTTTGATCTAACTCTTGCTCTTGTTCTTGATCATGTTCTTGATCCTGACTAGTAATAGCATCATGAGATCTTTTATTGTTACTAGTCTCTTGTCCAGTCTTATTAGAAATACATGTTCAAAGAAAGATGCATTCCTCCATTCAATAATAGTATTTACATACATTTCGGAATGTTCTGATTTATGAATCAAAAACCGATATGCATTACTATTCTTGATATAACTAATGAAAATGCAATCAACTGTTTTAGGACCTATCTTAGTTTTTTTAGAATTAGGAATAACCACTTTAGCCAAACATCTGCACACTTTTAAGTATTTATAGGATGGTACTCTCCTATGCCACAATTCATAAGGTGTTTGATCCACTTTCTTTCGGGGTACTTTATTAAGTGTATAATTAGCAGAAAGTATTGCTTCCCCCCACAAGTTTTGCGGTAATCCAGAACTTATTAACATGGCATTCATCATTTCTTTTAAAGTCCTATTTTTTCTTTCAGCAATTCCATTTTGCGGAGGTGAGTAAGGAGCGGTGGTTTGATGAATTATTCCATGTTCTTTACAAAACTCACCAAAAGGTGATTCATATTCAACACCCCTATCACTTTTTAGTTTTTTGATTTTCCTGCCAAGTTGATTTTCAATTTCATTCTTATGTTTAATGAAAGTTTCTAAAGCTTCATCCTTGGTTCGAATTAAATAAACATAACTATATCTAGTATAGTCATCTATAAAAGTGATAAAATATTTTTTCCCACCTTTAGTTTGAATTGATTTAAAATCACAAATGTCACTATAAATTAATTCAAGTGGTTCCGTACTTTTTTCAATCAAATAAAAAGGAGTTTTGGATAATTTTTTCT